ATCAATGATTTAGCTACTGAATAAGCATTGATCAAACTTGAAGTTATTATTACAAGATCGATGGAATATTTAGAACTAGTGCATTTGAAACTTGGATTGATTGTCCAGTGGGTTATTGAATACGATATTCGAGTTAGTAAAATAGAATATTGCGAAGCTGAGTTGACTGATATAATACTCTAGAGGGATGAGGAATAAAGTTCTTCACAGGCTTGGTCTTGTGATATACCTCAAGAGAGTATAACGATTATTCCGGAAGGAAATGATCCTCACTCCTTGGCTGCTTCTGAGTTCTGAGGAAACTCCAGGCCGATTTCAGATACGTATAGAGTAGATCGAAACGTTCTCGAGTAAACTGATATCCGAACTGTTGACCAAAGCGAATTCACATCGTGCTATTGCCATGGTTGGAAGTTGCGAAGATAAACAAACCTAGGAAAATGTCATTTTCAGTATACAGACGTCAATAAACATTTTTCAACGGTATAAATAAATATAAAAAAAGATTATTATTTTCTAGGATTAAAATCCAATATTTCTTACTAATTTTATTGTTTAAATGGTTGCAATAATCCAGTAACAACTCTGTTAAATTCACTTGGAATTTACCAACTTTGAACAACTTCAGACGTATCAATTGATTCTTTAACGACCGGAATCCGCTCAACTGTTCTCGAGATATCGTTGGCGGAGAATTTGTAAACTAATATTTGTAAAAATGTTTCTCAAGAAAAGTCACCAAAATGGGTTTACACACGCCGATAAGTAAATGTCAAGAGATTTTATGGACGAAAAATTTTTCACATTCAGATCCATTACAATAAAGATTTTCTTCTATTTTTTGAAAATGATACAGTCAAAAATATATTCTGTTAAGATATCATTATATTGACAGACGAAAAATAGAAATAATAATACTAAAACCTGTTTATTTCCTTTCTCGTTCTCCTGTCATTTAAACATCTATCTCGAGCTGTCAGTCTATATTTTATGAGTTATGATCACTTTATCTTCGCTAGGAATATATTTGATTTACCAAGAAAAATTTTCGAATAGAGCTGTCTTCTTTTATGAGTAAATACTCTTGCAAAAAAGTGTTTTTCAATAGCAGACTATTCGTTATAGTTTTTTTTCTGTTACTTAGATAATCTAATAGTGAATGAATGGATGAAATAATTTTTATATTATCCCGTTTTTTTAATGTCTATTAAAATAAGTGAAAGTGTTGCATCGATTAACATGAATAAATTTCCATTATTATTGAAATTTCGATGTACCAGTAAGCCAATACTATTAAAGCTAGTTAAGTAGAATCTCTAGGGAAACTGATTTTCGCTCCATTTATACAGAGATAACTTGGGAGTTGGCGAGTAAAAATGATAGTGCCGTAAAAATGACAGTGCATCACAATTAGTTTTGGTAATAGAGATAGTCTAGTTATTCAGGTCATTGTTAACTAGGTTCGATTTTATCAAGCTATGTCTGGAATAAAATATAAAATATATCTTCACTTTAACATAAGCATCATTTTTTTATCGAACAGAAAAAAACTATTTTACTGTGATACATAAAAATAAATTATTGAAAAAATTTTCCTCAAGCGGAACAAAATAATGAGTAGCAAATTAAAATTTGTTATATTTATTCATTTTTTTTAATTAACTTATCATCATAAAGTTTATCTGACAGTTTTAAAGAAACATGTTTTCTTTTTTTTTTTTGAATGCACAGAAAATAATATTTATAGTTAAAAATAAAAAAAAGTTTTAGACAGAATAATAATTAGAAAAATGTAGACAAAATAGTCGTTTGAATAAAATTTTTATTAATTAAAAAAGAAAGCCATTGTTATTAAAATACATTAAAATTTTATTCAAAAATAGAAAAAATGGAATAAAAATAAATAAAAAATGTGTCTTGTAGCTCCCATAAAGATAAAAACAAAGTCATTAGAGTATGCTTAGGGGATGCCTAGTACAGTCAGACAAACTAATTCAACACTCGTTTTCTAGGAATACAAGCCTATTTTTCTTCTGATACAATTATCAGACAATAAACAAAAATTGCTTTAATGACGTAGCCTATTAAATAGACATCAGATCTCAATTATTGATAGTCGTAAATAATGATTTTGTTCGCCAAAAATGTTATCAAATTGTTTAAACAATAATTTTTATGTATAAAAAACTTCTTTAAAACTATTGACAATTCTTTTTTCATAATAAACAAAAAAATTACATTATAACAATCCAAAACAATTTTCTTTTTTGTGAGAAATCTATTTTTGTAATCACGAAGTTAATAATTTTAAATCTTACTTGCTTTAATACTAATATATTTTAAGAAAAAATAGTCATGAAACATGTAAGAAAATATTAAGCACCAAAACAAACATAAAAATGCAAGAAAATGAAGCCAAAGACCAGTAGGTTATTCAACTACTGAGAGTACACTGCAATTGGGAATTCTTGGAAGCCAGTAGTACAAAATTGACAGAGAAACGTTAAACGTAAACGTCAAGAGGTATAGAAAATACAGAGGAATATGGTTTGGTCAGTGGTCACTCAGTGGTCACAAGAGACTTGGTCTCGTTTGTTCCAAGTGTACAGGAAACTGTCTTTGTACGTGGAACTCGAGTCTTGAGACTTAGCTCAAAATGTGGTGAAAGACGGAAAGCTTGATAACAGCGTACTGTGGTATGTAGTAGTGTTGGTCGATACTTGGCTCAGCAGCATGCTTCAATGACAGCGCCAATGGGGCGTTCTATGAAATCCCGCTAGAACAGTCTACCCACCCAAGTATTTTAGCATCCTACTAAACGTTCCTGGCATTTACGCAGCTTCAATAATAACGACGGTGATTGATAACATCCGATCGTATCGTATTCCAGATCAGACCATGGGATTCAGTAGTATGAATGTTAATTTACATCGACTGATATTAATTAGTGAAGAAAGTTAATGATATAAGATTATTTAATCCTCTTTACTATGTCAGCAGAGTTTGTTCAAAATTAATTAACAGATTTATCCATTAATTTTATGATAAAATTTTATTAAAATTCACATTATAATTTTTTAAATTTGATCATTCTTTCGAGTTAATTTTCAATTACGGAATCGTCTTTGTCAGAGAGTCAAGAAACTGTAATTTTTATCATTCTGGCTTTTATTATCGATTTCATTATAGTTCCTGATGTAGCACAATTATTGTTGATTAAAAATATCTTTGACTTTCTAATGAACTAAAATGGAAGAATCACTCATGCAAGATATCTTTCATTTTTGAAAAGCAAGTTTTTTTTTATTAAAAAAAACTTTGTTCTCCTATTTTAGCACTAGAATCGACTATTTCTTCAAAATCATTGTAATAAGAATAGTTTTATAGAGATAATTTAATCATTTATGATTTTGAAGTATAAAAGCTTCTTTAGAAATAGCTTAAAAACTACTCATTCTACTGATCTGCTTTTATCTCCTACTCCTTTCCATTGGCAAATGTTGTTATCTCCTAAGATACAGGTGTCAATAATTAATAGTTTTTCGCGAAAAGTTCTTAATAAAACTCTGAGATAAAGACATAAAAATAAAACATTTTAAGTTATTCCTACAAACTTTTATTTCTAATTAATTTTTCTCTATTTTCTTCACATTTTCGCCTCCATTTCACTCTAAAGTTGCGTAATCTCATCACTCTTATCAGCCCTAAGACTTTCTCTTCTGATTCGAATAATCTACTTAGACAACTCTGTGCCACTGAATATCGTAACCATGTCTGACTACATTGTGGTTTGCGTTAGATTTGTGCTGAAATGTGAAAGAGGATACCCCAACATACAATTTCCGAAATGATGATTGGAACTCGATTGTGAGGTATCTTGTTAGAAACCATTCTCTTTCTTGTACGAAAGAAACTACATTTTCAAGGCGTGACTGTGACGAATGAAATACTTTTTCCCCCTTTTTTCGCAGAAAACTATCAGTAGACTTGACGTGGAAAAGTCTAGTCTATACCTTCTGAATATTGTATTGTATTGATTTAGAGATCTCATTACTTTCTAGCCATGATTTCTATATATAGTAGACAGGAAGAAGGTTATTTTTTTTTTTCTTTTGTAAAACAATGCAAACAAATAAGTTCAAATAAAAATTTACTCAACTCTTGTTAACTTAGCTGTAGTAGAGAAAAAAAGCTTGTAGTGTATATTCCCTTGAGGATCGTCCATATATCCTTAGACGAAAACCATCCACATTATATCTTTTACAATCCTTAAAAAAAGTACCGATTTCTTCTGTCTAAACGAGAAACTTACACGATGGTTCCCATTAAGTATATGACATTTAAGTACTGCTCGACATGTTGGACGTTTTTTTAATTTCTTTGTTTTTATGGCAAAAAAAAGTAGAACGTAAAAATGAATCATGTGATACACTTTTCGGTTTTTTAATCATAATAATTTTTTTGTGAATTTAACAAAGTAAATTTTCCATCAACTGATGATGAAGTTTGCTCATTTTTGAATTTAATTACTTTAGTAAAGAATTTTTCAGAGATTCAATTTTAAAATCAAACACAGTATTGTTTGGATTAAAAGTTTCTACGTTTTAAAACAAAAAAATTTTTTAAAAGTTGTTCTGATAAAAATATTAAAACTTTTTTCATAATATTTATATACAACAAGATAACTCAAGATATAGAAACATGTTATTATTACTCTATTTAAATAAAAAAATCAAAATGAAATTTTTGAAAGAAATATTGAAACGATTAATTCAGCTAACCACAACCAATCGCCCAATCAATACACCATATTTATCTATCAAAAAGTTTAAGTGATAATAAATGTCAAACTTTGATTACCAACATAAACCAAACTAATAGGAAAACAAGTGTGACTCAAATTTTAATTAAATACTCTCTCTATTTACATTATAATGACTTATTATTTTCGAATATTAAATATAAAAATACTCAATTAAAATTGATATCTTTTCGTAGCACCACAATCTATATATTCTGTCACTCAACCACTGGACCTACCATTTTTTGATATATTTCCATTTTTGTATGTACCTCATATTTTCACAATCTGACTTTGATAGAAAAAACCTATGAGCAAAAAAATAAAAAATGGCTGTACCATAAAACAAGGTGCTGAATATGCTCTTACCAATTGTCACAACAATTCCATCCTCAATTGTATTGTGTACTGACGGATTACTATACTGGTTGTGGTATTGGCGTTTCTCACAGCTGCATAAATTTCGATGCTGACGAGCGTAACGAGTACGTGGTCTGCAATGGTTTCACCTGTGGATAAAGCATAGATACAACTATTAGTAGCGAGCACGATATTCGTGATAGTTTGAGAACGCTATCAGATGAATAATAAATAATTCAACAATAGAAGCACAATTCTAGCTTGACGAGTGCAAGTTTACCCAAATTATACTCCAAAATACACTTAATTATTTCGGCATTAATAATGATTATACTAGCTTCGGTAGAATATTTTATCATCACCTTGAGTTCCATTTCATTTTCTACAAATAGTCCGATATTCTTGATTATTACGACATCAATGTAATATAGAATTAAAATAAGGTAAAATGTATAAATTGTGTTGATAGAACATCAAAGTTGGCACAATTATGCGGCTTAGTATAGCATTAAAATAGCACAAAGCCATTGTTCAACAAAGAGGAATGAAGATTTCAGACCAAAGGTTGTGAAGCGTGGGAACGTCTCGCTATCAAACCATGCGTGCTTTACAAGCAAAATATTATGATCGCGTGTCCTACGAATAAAGCTTTTAGTTTTCTAACTGCAAATGATGGAAGAATTTATATTATACCGTACGACGGGAGATATTCTATTGAAATAAAATAATTTTATGAATAAAATGTTGATGTGTTCTTTTATTTAGAAGTCTTCGAACGTTTCAAAATTATTGTGTTGAATGTCCCGTAGTTGAGTACATAGAGATGTTGAAACCGCACACATTGAGCTTTTTATATGAGCTGCTCTTATCTCTTCTCTTCCTTTTATGATCATATCTACTGGCACGTGGAGGATAAAATCCTGATCTCACCTACCGTTCATCACTTTATTAATGTTCTGTGAGCACATTGCATTATCGAAACTAGAAACTTGAAGTACTTTATGCGAAATTCATAAAAATACCGATACGATAAATTGAGCTTTTATTATTCTCTAAGAAAAAAAAACGTTTAATTTTTTGCAACCCTATTATCTTTATTTTCTATTGTCTTTTTTTACAGCTATATAATAATTCTGCAATTGAGTCCTTTGATGTTGATTAAATTTTCTTTTTCATTTTTATTGAAAAAATTTAATAAATACTAATTTCATTTATTCTTTTGTTCACGACTTTTTTATATGAGCATTAGTTCCAATAAATTCCATATGTGCTTAGTAGTGGAGATAATTATTATTTGGAATTTCTGTTAAAAGAACCAAATAATAATAGAGTATATTTAAGCTATCGAAGAATCCAATAAAATCATAATTATGATGATAATAACAATAGCAGTATTGTTAAAATTTAAAAGAACCAAGACTGTAATTGGTATTGTAATTGCAGTTCATGTCAAAGAGTGAAAATAACTTTGCACAGTTCGATGCTTCTTTTATTTCTCACATTTTAGATAGCTTTGTAACAGACTCAAGAATTAGTTTAACTCCACTACTTCAATATTTTTTATCATTGTCTTTTCACATTCCTTTGAACTCTACTATCATTGATCACAAACATATGTTTTATTTAATGTTCTTTCTGGTAGTCTATCAATATACTATGTTTTTTCCACGAGAATCAACTTATTTTTTTTTTCATTTTCACGTCTTTATTGTCTTTGACATATAGCAGAAAAGGTAAGAGGTGCAAAAAAATAATTGGAAATGCTGAACTTTTGTACAAGTACCACTTGAACCAACCCACGTTATACCCTTTAGTTGACAAAAAAAAAAATTAAAAAAATAGAAAAGAAAAAAAAAAGACGAGCAAATATAGTCAAGAACCCTTTTCAGCAAGTGAGATACGAGGGAGACAGGTCAAAAAGGGTGCGAACAATAAAGGTACCCGCATACGAAATGTTAGGGGACAAGGCAAGAGAACACGACTCGTAGCAAACAAGACCGACAGTACACCAGAAACATGCAGACAGTTGTGTGAAAATGAAATTTCTACATATGTAAATTATTTAAACTCTATAAATCATAATTTTCGTTGACTCTTCAACAAATTATTTTATTTATCATTTGCATAATACCTGTCAAATAACCCTTGAATACCGATTATGATCGGCGTGGAAATTTAATTATTCATGGTTGACACCCAGAAGACAATTGATTTATGTGTGAATTTATGCGAATCATATTCAATTACAGGAATGTTCAGTGTTGGTAGTGATGGAATTAATTGACTCTCATATGTACTCTTTAGTATGCTTTTAAAATAACGACGATGACGATGACAATAATGACTAAACCACTCGTCACATTATAATCATAAGCATCACTTTTATCATATTAATGTGATTCTACTAATAAAATTCATTTATTTAGTTAAATATATATGTGTACTATTAATTCAAAAGACTCATTGCTACACGTTTATATGCATCCTCATGCTTTTAAATAATTTATTTCATTTAATATAGGATAATTATGTGAAAGAGCTCTTATCATCAATCATTTGAACTATTACGTTTACAAAGATTTTGGAAAAATTGATTCAAAAGTAATCATTTTATCTATTTTATTCAGTACTTGCATTAAATAAAATGAATATAAACACATCACATTAATTTTGATTAATTCAAAATGTAGAAAAATGATTTTAATTTACAATTTATATAAACTAATAAATGTTGGCTCGGAATAAAAGCTATTTTATTAAAAATCAATTTTAAAGACTATAAAATGTAAAAAAAAAACTTACGATTAATAATCTTTAATTAGAAAATATGAAAAATACCTCTGTTATCGCTGCATTGTTTGTAATATTCAAATTTCATTAAATGATAATTTATCAAAATGAAGTACACTTAATACGTTGACAATCAACGTATTCATGGCTTTAATGAGTCGAAATGAGCTCTTATATATAAAATATTAAATACAAGTAAAATCTGGATAGAAAGTTATGCGCAGCAACAACCGTTAAATGATCAATCCAAAACTGACAATGGTACTTTTCAAAATTTTCTATCTCCAATAATTTTTATTGTTGTTTGAAAATAAAAAAAAGAATAAAATTAAAGACGAAAATTTGAGATGAATAATTATATGCCAATAAATAGTTCGATAATAAACTGTGAATAGTTTAATAATATACGTATATACTAATAAGCTTCTTAACTAAACTACGACTATAAATAATGTAAAATTTTTAATTGTACTTGAAATATTGAATTTTATGTGCATTGATCAGCACCATTTCCATTAATTAGTCAACCCTTTTGACAAGAACGGTCTACTTATGAAAGTTTGAGAACTAAATTTTGTAATAGAAATTTATGTAATGCATGCTAGATTGAGACTCTTGTATAGACAGATTTATACACTACTGACATGACCAACACTCACCAACAAGCGATTAATCAACACTACTATACTGAATAAGTCGATAATTTAAGGTCATGTTAATTTTTAGATCCTAAATACACGTTCCCAACTGCACTTTTTAACTTGTTTTTGATAAAAATAAAAGCTGAAATTAAACTGTTCTAAATTGTCTCAAATTATAAATATCCTAAAAAAACGTAAAATTCTTTTATAAAAAAACAAATTTAAAAATAGATAAGAATTAAAAGAGTTGAGTTAATGATGCAGAAGTTAATGTGAATTCGATACTGTTGATGTGCAAAATAATTTTATTTAAAAAATAAAAAAAGATATACATTTTTTAAAACTATCTAAAAGCACAGTTTTATTTATCCTACGAAGAAGTGGATCAAAAGTTTAACTCAGAATCTACCTTTTATTTTCTCATCGGAATATTCTTTTTATTCCTCTGAAAGATGGTAATATTGTAGCGTCGATGTTTCTAAGTTTAGATCGTAACAGACGGATGAATCATAACACTGAAGTGATGCTTATATTCCGAAGTTTGTACACCCTAGTGAAACATGAGAGTACACAAGCAATGTCTCATGATCGTTCAGACGTATAACTACTGTCGGTTAACAGGACTCTGGAAATTCATTCTGGTACATGAGGAGTTTCATGCCTCCCCGAACTCCTAAACATGACAGACAATCGTAATAGATGAGTGAAACGTGGTACACCTTACACTTTATAGTTATGAAACGAAAATTTTACTGCAATACTTGGTGAATACATACCAAGAGCATACAAAATGTGACCACTCATAATTTTATTATTATGGCGATTGTTATTTTTTTCTTTTACATCCTACCATTTTGCTGATGTGAAAATTCCCGTTTTTCATATTTATACCTATGCTTCTTTATTCTGCGAAAATTTCTCGTCTCTGAGATATACCACAACTACTTAAGTTTCCTTCCCCAACGTATTTCCATTTTGCCGCTACGATTTTCAATTCCACACGACGAATATGAACAATTCCTTTAACCGTTGCAGTCTAGCAATCGACTTTCTCTTTACACTTCTTATCTTTTTGCAATCATCAAAGTTCTGTCTGAGAAAATAAAAATTCCTTCTTGAATTACTTTTTTATGTTTGTTTACTGTTTGGTGCGAAATTCGAAGGCTTTTTGTTGCTGCTTTGTGATTCATTTTTTAAATGATTAATTACACTATTTTGTAGTTGACTTTACTAAAATAAATAGCATTGTTTATTTAAAAAATGAAAATAAAAGAGCTTAATGTAGCTGGACTTTTTTTTTTTAATTACAGACATTTGTATCATTAAAGTCTTTGCGATTTGACATGTTATGTTCTGTCTCATATTATCATTTTTAATATATAAATCTGAAATTAATACAATCACAGATTAAATTTTTTAACTTTAAAAAATACTTTTTAATAGAATTTTTTCGAATAATTGTGTCGCTGGACCCCCACTTCTCCAATGACTTAAAATTTTAGTATGTTACGAAGGTGATTGATTTTATATGGATGTATTGAATGCGATAATCATAACTGATTATAATTTTTCAATGTTGAAAATTGCAATAAATAAGTTTGCGTCTGCTACAATTACAATAGAAATATTCATCGATTTCTCGAATATACGAGATATGTTTTTTGAATAAAAATTCAGCAATACATTATTAATAATGCCTGCGTCATTTTTATTCTCTT